AAAATTTCGCGTCAAGGAACATGAGGCATATGTTAGAAAAAAGGAAACACAGAAGTCTTCTGTTGCGCAACATTGTTGGTCCGAAAATCACACTTTCAATTTTTCTGCTGCCAAAATTATTCAAAAAACATCTTCCATTGGAGAACTAGATTTTCTAGAGGCATTTCACATTCATAAAAATCTTTCTGTTCTAGTTAACGATCCTAATTCCAATCCAAATTTGCCTTCGGCCTTTAAATAAATTATGTTTTAGTTCTGATTTCACCAACAGATGACGCCACTTGCTTTTTCTTGTCCAGGCTTTCTTATCTTATCTAATCATTTTTTCCTATCTTGTTCATTTGCGGTTTTGCAGCTGAGGATGGTGGTTCGGTAAAACCATCGAAACTAGTCCTGTGGAAATTTTGTAAATATAACGCTGATTTTTGTTGTTTGTCTTCTGAATTAGTATCATACATTATGACAGATGAGCCTCATACTGTGGCCATAGTCGGCATCAACCGAGTCGGAAGCTGTACTTTATTGCTTTGCCGTGAAATCTTCACTGTTAGCGTGGCGGTTGTGTTGCTGACTGTTTCAGCGTGTTTGTCGTAGTTTTCCAACGTGTGTAGACGTGTATTTGGAACTGTCCTGTGTATATTGCTTACTGTCGAATAAATTGTGCTTTGATTCTTCATCAAATGTTATCATTAGTTACTCTAAATCTGCGAACTCGTAGAACGCAACAATAATGATGGCTTTTATCATCATTATTATAGCATCCTGGCTGCCATCTCCTTGATCATATTGTTACTAATTCTGTACAATCCCGCGCTCAGGTTTTTCTCTTTTCGATATGTCTAATTATTTTTGAAGGGATGGTTAAGGGCATGTTGTTCGTGTGTGTTCTTGAAACGAATTATGTATTGAATGATGAAATTATGTGTTCTGGTTTTGCGTGGGAAATATTGTTAGTGGGAAACTGAAATGTATAGTTTAATCTGCTAAAAACTCAGTTTCGGTGTATGCGATCCCGTTGCGGCCGTTAAGGAGTAGAATGTTTTTGTTGTGCCTTTTATACTTAAAAACAGCAATCCAAACAGAATTATCGTCAGAGGAAAGGGATTTTTAAGTATCTGGTTCAGTCAAGTCGTTCCTTATTGAGTTTGTTCATAGCTCCTTTTTTTTTAAAAATTATTTTTGTTCATCCCGACAGTGTGGTCTTTATCGTGTTTCCTTTGTTTGGTTGTTCTTTTTAATACGTTCTCATATGACAGACTTCACCAACCTCTTTATATCAACCTCTTATGACAGACTTCACCAACCTGTTTTTGATAAGGGCAATGTGCAGTTTTTTCGTAAATTCATTAGTCAAAACATTTAACTCATTCCTCGTGTGTATAGTTGGGAGAATGTACTGGGTATTTGTCAGAGCTTTGGCATATCCTGCTTAGTTACTCATAAGGCTTCTTTTGTGTGATATACTGTAGTTACTGACGCTGATTTTGACCATATCAGGGTTATGATCAGAAGCGATTTGACTCATACTCTCGATCTATATCACAGCATTGATGTTTTTGAGTAAATAAAATTCAGTTGTTGAGGCATGTCTATAGTGTGTTGGTTTATCTGCTGCAATTAACCGGTTAGCCGTTTGGGCAAATTTGTAAATTGTACGTGCATAGCTGTTCATATTACAGTTCTACAGAGAGACTGGCCTGCCACCCCTCTCCAGCTAATACGGTTGATGAAGTGTGGTATAGACTTGAAGCAGCATGGAATAAGTTGCCAATTTCTGTCATCCAAGCCTAGTTTAACTCTGTGCCTAATGGGGTAAGGGCAGTTTAGTTGCCAGAGGTGGCAGCTGTTTCTACTAATTTCGCACCCCTGCAAACCTCCAAAATGCTTACGAATTTAATCATTTTGTTTTCATGACATACTGTTTACATGCAACAAATATCTTTTTTGCATCTGCTTTCTTTTACAGTTGCAATTTTAATGGCCAGCAGTGTACTTTCGGGAAATGACAGTTGCAGATCTTGCTTCAAACTGTACCTATGATCCAGTCAAATATTTTTCGCCCTTTACATTTTCAAATGTGTAGACATGCGTTAATAAGATGCGGCTAGTTATTTTTGGTTATCTTGAATATGACAAATCGCACCAAGTGCTAATTGCCTGAGGGGATTAGAACACTTAAAAATTCTTCCTATATCCGATGAATCCACGTGCTTTGCCATATTCAAATAAGTCAAACCAGCTTTAAAAAGCATTTTTAATTATAATAAATAATTTTAAAATTAAGTAATAATAAAACTTTTTCTAATGCACGTTATTTTATGGCCAACTTATAAAATAACATTAAAAAATCTGATGTGTACACCACATGACTTCCTTGTACGGAATATTAAATTATACGCATTTTTTCTTGCATTTCATTTAAACTTATTGGATTGGATTAAATCTACTTCGCCGACAGCGCATAAACCACAATAGAATAAATGCATTCTTTAAAATTCACTGTAGTATTTGTTTACCATAGCGACACTCTGGCGCTAGATTCACTTAACAGTATTAATAATTATATAACAGTTAACTTATATAATAATTATATAACGGAAACTAAGTTAACTGTTATATAATCCAATAATTATATAACAGTTAACTCATATATTTCGTTCATATAAACTTCATAATGCCAAAATTTATATCATTTAAAGAATAGAATTATCTAATCGTTGCCATATGTTCTATTCAAATACTATAATAAGGCTAGAATGATGTATAAAAGAAATTAAGCAAACAAAACAAAATAGAAACAGTTTTTCACAGACGATTGAGTATTTCTCATTGAATTAATTCAGTTCTCACTTCGCTAGAAGGCAAAAATACATAAAAACTCAAAATATCGATATTAAAAATTACGAAGTAAATCTTAAACACTTATTTCCTCCTCGAAAAAATTCCAGAAAGAATTAAGCATGATTTAATTGGCAATAATAAATGAATGCGTTATCTTTGTTGTTGTGAAGCTAAGTTTCTCTAGATTGGCAACAAATCCACTAGTCTCCTGTTTCAAATGTAAACATCAATCCGCCATTAAAAAAAGGCTTAGCGGCACTTAGACAACTTTAAAATTGTTGATAATTCTAAAAATATTGCATACAGATTTACTAAAGGCATAAAAACCTTAACCGGATGATAAAAACAACATAATACAATCATTTTTAAAGTAAAAAATGTACAATTTACAAACATGTAAGAGTAAAGAAACTGAGATTACTGAACCATGTAACAGAGTGGATAATATATAAATATATTTATATACGTTTGGTGCGGCCGATTGCAACCAAAATACGAGGTGCACATCTACATGTTATAGCAGTCCTATATACAAAATTTCAACGTTCTGAGGCTACTCGTTTTCGAGTTATGCGAGATACGTACATACGTTCGTACAGACGCCACGAAAAATTCTCTTGAGAATTAATTTTAAAGCAGTTTTATAATCTTTTTGAAGGAAAAGAGTATTTTATTCCGTCCTTACGTACGGATATCACTCAAAAACATCGTTAAATTGCATTCGATAGCGGTCAAAATGGATATTTTCGTTGAAATATGCTGCCTGAAACTTTTCGCGATTACAATACTTCCTTTTTACTTCGTAGAAGGAAGTAAAAAAGGGCTCTTTTTAGTAATTAGTAGTAGCTTTTAGTAACTAATTTTTATACGCTGATGAAAAAAAAGTCCTTATGCATTGGTGATTGATAGCAGTGCTGTTTCGTAGTTCTGATTTTTGTTTGTAACAGGTATCATTAGTTGAAAATAATAAAATAATAACATAATTAGTTTGAAAATAATAAAATAATTATAAATAATAGTTGAAAATAATAAAATAATATAAATAATTAGTTGAAAATAATAAAATAATATAAATAATTAGTTGAAAATAATAATAAATATAAAATAATTAAAATAGAAAATTAGTTGAAAATAATAACAGGTTTTCGAAGCAATATTAAAAATGAAATGAAACTGTCTATAAATAACCAATACCTATATATAACATTACGCAAAAGTAGACGTTAACGTTAATTTTAATAAATGGTAACATTGCATGTAATACTTCTTAAATGGCAATAGAATAAGTGATAAGTATAACAGCTTAATCTTTCATTTGCTGTATCAGAAGTGTATTCCTTAATAAAGACAAATTGACGTAAAGAAAATTGCTGTAAATAGTGCAGTCATAAAAAAAAAGTTTAGTAGCAATAAGTAAATATTTCCTCTCTGTAGCGAGAAATTTTCATTAATAATAATAATAATAAATAATTGGTAAAATTTGGTAAGCCAAGGCAAGTTAGTTATGAAACAGCAGGAAATTAAACAAAACCAAAAAAATAATAATAATAATAATAATAATAATAATAAGAAAAATAAGAAAAAAACGAGTTAGTACTACAGTAAGAAAATTTATTTGATTATAATAGTTCTATTAAATAAATTTTCAAAGTTTAGTAAACCCAGTCACGCTTGTAAATGGAGAATATGAAAGCAGAAAAAAAAAAAAAAAAAAAAAAAGTTATTGAGAAATAAATTTTTAACTTGTGCATCGCAGTTTCGTATGGAATTCAAGATTTCTCGTGAAACACTAAGATTTTAAGAAAGTCGACACGGAAAGAAAGGATATGAAATAAAGTAAAAACTTTTAATTCATCAGTGCAATTTATACGTGATTAGCTCATTCGTCACTATTTGTTGCTTAATTTAGAGCAAGTTTTTGCTCTAAATAAAAGTATGACTTTGGGAAAATTCAATTGAGTCGCATTGAGTAGAAAAATTAAATTTGCTTAATTAAGATGAGCATCACTCTAGCAACGGCGCTAATTCGAGAACTCTGCAGCGGCGACTTGTCTGTGTATCAAACATTTGCTTTTCCCGTCACTGATTCCTGGTCGATTAAGAATTTCCAACTGTTTGCATGCTGTAAAATAAAATTGTGCGAGATTGATTTCGCTTACCTCTTTCGAATCTGTAAGAGAAGCAGCACTTGCAAAGAAAATCAAAGCCACGAACAGGTACATCTTAATGTACGATTTACGCTGTCCTGGTCAACCCTTTTTTTCCCTCCTCCAATGCTGTCTGCATCTCCGTGAGCGGCTGCTGTCGAGGATCACTCCCAGATGGCGCCACTGGGCGTTACTATGGAGACGGTTCTTCAATGTACCAAGACGATGCTGGGTTGCTGAAGCTTTTGATTAGAATCGTGATCAGTGCAGAATTTACGTATAGGCTACACAAGCTATAGCGCCCCCCCCCGAAAAAAATTAAAATGTAGTATAAATATACTATAACAGACTTACAAACGACCCCGTATCTTAAATAGCTTAGGGCCTTATCAAGTTTAAATCCGGCCCTGATCGTGGTAGCCAGATTTAAGAGCAGTTGATATCTTTATTCATTAAACCGACTGAAGGAAAACCTTTTCGAGGTGTTAGGTTGTAATTTAAAATTTTCAGATTACATTTTTTTAATAATATTTTATTACAAATTAGAAGAATTATTTAGGCTCATAGAGATTAAGAATTTTAGAATGTAAGACACAAAATGGTAAAAAAAAAAAAAAAAAAAAAAAAAAAAAAATTCATTTACCGGTACATAGCGTTAGATTCTTAATACATTTCATTTCGAAGCTTATTTTCTGATCTCTTAGGTAGGACTAATATTGAAGTCCTTCATAGCTTAGTGCATTGTTAAGCGAAGATGTACGCGGTTCTGGTTCATAAATAAACCCTTCTCTGAGGTACTAGTTCGTAATCTGAAAATTCCAGATTGCGAGTTTTTGGTTTATTTTTCTCACTTTTTGCAGGTGAATAAAACTCTAATAATAAAAGAAATGTCACCCGCCCATATCAGTGAAATTCAGAACAGTTTCGCTAGAAGCGGTCAGTGTGCAATGAGCGAAATTGTTCTATGTTGAACTGCGGTGCTTAACCACCAGGGTGCCTGGGCGCCATAGCCCTACCCCTCATCGAATAACATGATAAAAGTTTCGAATTATGAGAAATATAACTGAATGTGCTAAATAATTAAATGAGCAAGAGTTTAAATTCATAATTGCTAATAGTTAAATACAAATTTTTAAGTACCTAATTACTAATCCATACATAATTAACTATTTTTTTAACAACTATTTCACAGAAGAATACATGTACACACAAGAGAAACAAAATACGAAAGTGCGACGCCTTAGTGCCAATAGTAAAAACAAAAAGCAAGAAAAAAGAAACAATATTACAATAAAGAATCTGAGCAACAATTTGCATAACACATAATACAAAATTACTTACATTACTAACATTTAGGATCGCCCTTCGGCGTTTACTGAAATTGGGGTCCCTAGTATCATAACAATAGTTAACAACCACAGTATTGTCCAGAAGTTCCTGTTTATCATAAAATTGCTCTAGATAGGCGGCAAAAAAAATCACAAAGATCCTCTATTCTTAACTGTTTACGAATTAGGCTATTCCGAATGTACCAGGGGGCATTACATATCATACGCAATACCCCGTTTTGGGCAGCTTGTAACTGCCTTCTCAAACTTTTGCACGAGTATGCCCAGACGGGGCATGCATAACTAAGAATTGGACGCAACATGGTTTTGTAAATGAGCAACTTATTATCAATAGATAGAACACTGTTTCGAGCAATTAAGGGGAAGAGTGAAGCTTTACTAGCTCGAAACTTCCTGAGAATATGTGTAACGTGTGGGTTCCATGTAAGAGATTTACTGAGGATTACTGAGGAAATTGTTCTGAATTTGGCTGCTATGGGCGGGAAACATTTCTTTTATTATTAGAGTTGTAGTATTTACCTGGAAAAAGCGGAAAGAATAAATCAAAAATTTGCAATCCGGAATTTTCAGATTACAAACTAGTACCTCAGAGATGGACTTATTTATGGTTAGAAATGCTAAAATATTCAAAATGTCCTAAAAATGTTTTCAAAATTATCCTGTACCAGTTTCATAACATAGCATTAGTTTGTTATTTATTAGTTACAACATTATTGCAAATCTTTATGAAAATAATCAGTTAAATGTATTATAATATTGAATGTATTTATATACGTGTATCCATTAGATGTATAACTAAAAATGAAGACCTAAATTATAAAGGATCCTTAGAGCTTTAAAATCACTCATTTTTTTTTTAAGAAGTTAAGTTGAAATTAAAATTAAAGATCGCATATTTTACCTAACTGCAACATTCCCAGGATACACTGTGCACGTTGGAAGGTAAATTAAAGTTCTTGTGTTTTGTTCAGTGACACTACTTCTTATTTATCAATTTTATTTGTTATGTCAAATCAGTACATCTCCTTTGTTACATAAAAATGGGTTCAAAAACTGGCTAGTTTTGAATTAATTTATAAGGAATTATATACAGATGTATTCAAATTTTCCCTCTTTCATCTTTTGCGAATTTTGTTATATGTATAAATAATTAAAATAAAATTATATGTAAAACTAGTACTTCTTGTGTAATGGAACATGAAGTTCCTCGAAGATGAAGCTTTGCCAGAAAAATAAGATTAGACATCCCTAATCCCTCAAGTCTATTTGACATTGAGGTAAATGGATATCTCCCTAAATTGGCAAGGTATTTCCAAGTTGGCGATGGTTTTATCAACTAATTTTTGTAGCAAGATTTGGCGAGAAATAATCAAAAGTTGCCAAACTTAGCCACTGTTGGGCAATATTTTGGTACAGTCCCTGTATAACTGCAAGTGTTGCTGTAATTGAATAACTGTAACTGTAATAGTATCCATCCCTTAAAAAATGTAACTTTAACCATATGTGCTTTCCAGTAATTTTGAGAAATAGAAAACACTATAGATTTCTCAGCAGACAGAGGAAAATTATATAAGACGAGAGAGAGCATCAATTCTCAGTTTAAGTTCAGAGTTTTTAATTCAGAGCTGACTTCAAAGTATTGACAGATCTCCGTGTGAGCTTTACTCTTTGGTTTCGCTTTGCATTGCATTGTGTTTAACATCATTAGTTGTTTTAAGTGGTACCTACAGATTGTGTAAGCCCTTTCTGTTCCACTAATGATCCAACCTAATTTTGTTTCAACCACTACTAAGGAATTAGACAGTCTGTGAATCTTGCCTGTAAGTACTTTCCAATAAAAATCCACTCCTATCAGCAAGGAAATTTTCAAAGTGTTATTCCCTTGTCCCCATTCATTGGAAAGTTGTATTCCCTGATTTTTAATAATGTTAACTATTTCATTTCTAGAAGAATGAATATGCAATCCATTAATGACAGGAGTAATTAAAGCTTCTATTTTGATTTCATATTGATACTTTGAAGTATGCAAAATGAGACTAATTTTTTAACCTTCTGCTCTTCCAGTATAGTGCAGCCCAATGAGAATATTTTTATATATTTCTTTCCCATAACCGGTAGTTTTAATTTTTTACAGATGCCCTACATAATAAATGTTCGCTGCAATGTTGTTATTATGTGTTAGAGAGCTAAGGCCACTGGTTGTTAATCCTGCCTCTTCCATCTATATCCTTAGAGATTAATAATCTGAAAATTATCAATACAGTCAAAAGTCGTTAATCCGGACTCGTCGGGACTTCGGCGATTCCGGATTATCGATTTTTCCGGATTATAGATCATCAGTTTAAATCTGGTAAGATGGCATGCAGAAATTACAAAATTAAAAATAGGACCGTAATTTATGAAATAAAGAACAATTATGATCTAAATGGTATCAAAATTTACAAAAAGAAAAAGCTTAATATTTATTTGTTTACTTTATTAAACATTTCTTTCAATGTAAGTTGCTTCGTTTCATGTGATAATACTTTCTCTTTAATTCTATTAAACAGACATAATTTCTTGTTTAGTTACAAAGTTCCGCTGTTCAAGTCCTATAATTGCTTTGTTGAGAATACCGACTAATTTTTCGTTTTCAATAACCTCTGGGTCACTTTCTTCACTATCGGATGCGAATTATAATGACGAGGTACTTGATTTAAATCATATCAAAGACGGAGTACATCGAGATGAAATACTACACTTAGTAAGGAATTATAAGCCAAATAAAATAAAAACATCTGCCCTGAAGATAAGGATAGTGCTGACAGATCAACTTCCAATCCGCGGCGTGAAATTGATAAACAGATTTCGGATTTCAAAACATACTTTCGCTTTGTAGATACAAATTACATATTGGTAAATATATATCAGAAATTTGACATAATCGAAATTAAATGCGCATGCGCACAAACATATTCGCAGCCGTAAAGGTCATACGCGCACTCTTAAACGCCCCGGATTATGGGTGCCCGAATTAACCACTTTTGACTGTACATTCTTTGCACAAAACACAGGTTTAATACGATTCAAAATATCTACGTATATTTACAGATACTACATATATTATTTAACTTTGGCATGGACAGCATGCAACTTCTCCCTTCAGAGTTCTCGAGCGATTTCTCACCTTGAGTTCATAATTTGTTACAAAGTCACACAGCAACATCAGATCTCAACAAGGGTTGAGTTGCAACTCCACCCTACTAAGAAGAGCTATAAGTGTACTTTTATGGAAAGTGACTGTGTGGTTATAGAAAGTGGCTATATATAAATGTGAATAATTTTTGTAAAATTATATGAAAAATTCTAGCATTTTTAGTATAACGTAGCATGAAAATCTAAAGAAGCGAAGCTTTTCCAGAAAATAAGAATACAGAAGCAAGTCTATTTACTATTGAGTAAATGGCTATCAAATTGGTGAGAAATCTCCAAAAGTCACCAAATTTAGCGATATTTTGACCCGGTTTGTGTATAATTGTTATGGATATTGTAATGAATAATTGTTATTCATCCTATATGTAACTGGAACCGTATCTGGTTGTCGTATGTCTTCCAGTACTTTCTCGAAATTGAATTTACAAGACATTTCACAGTGACTGGGTGAAAACACTATAAGACCTGAGAGAGCATCTGCTCTCAGTTGTTAGTTCAGAGCTGAATTCGCAAAATTGAGATATTTGTATGAAGATATTGAGATATTCATTGCTCCGAGCTTTGCCTTTTAAATGCACTGTGTTGTGTTTAATGTTATTAGTAGTCTGAAGAACTGATTGTTCTCTTGTATGCTAAGGAGCTATATAACTACTTTTATGAAAAGTTCTAGAACTGTAAAGTTTTCTTTTGTGAAAATAAATTTTATCAGGTTGTTATTGGTTCTGTGTGCTCTCAATCCATTATGAATACCTATTCACCCAAAACATCTTTTTGCTTTAGCTTTCTTTTGTTACATTTAAAATTTCGGAATAACTGTGCCTGGTGAGTATTTTAAAGAAAGAATTCTTTCCTGATAATTGACTTATGTATTTATTTTTTTGTTTTTTAGATTGCTTTCAACTGGTTGAATCCTTTTCCACAAAAAACTATTGATGTCAGAAGAACACACCATCGTCAAGTTGTAGAGGTATGCAGTTTAAAAGCTGTGAATTTTTTTATTTAATTTATTTGCCAAAGTACTCTTTCCAAGTCTTTAATTGGAAGTTTATTTATAATCTGAACCACCATTTCTTTCACAAGATTCTACTCTGTATATTAAGATGCTTTGTAAATTAAAATCCTCTTGGACAGATAGTGCATGATTTCCAAATGTAGGCATTATTAACCACCAGGGTTACTGAAGTGCTCTAGAAGGGCAGTAAGGGTGCACAAGGCTAGTGGATAATAAAAACATGCTCTGAAAATATAATTGTCTGAATATTTTTGAAGCAAATATTTAAATTTTTATTTCATTAAATAAATATTAAATCATACTAGACTGTCAATCGACGTTGCATGTAAGTTGCTCCGAGCTGCATATAAGTTCATATTTCTATTCCAAAATAAAGCCATGGAAAATTTTAGGAAATTTAGGATTCATTCCAACTCTTAATTGATATGACAGTTTTCCAGAAAACTGTAGAAGTAACAAAGTAGAATTGTTAAAAAGTCCTGCACAAATGATT